CTGATTCGGACCCTTATTTCTGATTTTCGCCGGGTTATAAGCCTATAGATCATGTTTTCAGGAATCCCAATTCGGAGTTTGAAAGTTTCGGCGGAATTTCATCACACGCGAGTGTGAAGTTAACCTATTGTAGGGAGTCCGCCTTCGTTTCAATAATTCTTTGAAGCTATTGAGTTCTTTCTGTAGATGACATAGCTTTCGCTCACAAAAATTCGGAGGGCAAGCGTTAGGCGACAAAACGTGCAAAACGCAAGCAACGTAAATCCCCTAACTCAAAACTATGCACCATTTTTTCATTGGCGTCGGGTAATGTATCGGCCCCGACCCCCAACCCCCTGTTTTTGGCGGAGGAGACGTTTTGCACGGGGAGTTCTTTGGGGTACAAAAAATTGGGTTTGTCGCCTAACGCCCTACACCCCAAAAATTCCGAAGGCGTCGCGACATTCCGCGCCATTTCGGTGATCACGCGACATTCCACTGATGCCGCTAAATAACGTGAGTTACTCAAACTACGCAGCGCCATGACTTCTTTTGGATTAGTGAATGATGAAACAGATAGCTCTGTGCTCATCTTATCGAATTTTCTTACAAGTCACATTGGCGTAATATTTCGTTCGAAGCTAACTTGCGAAGCCAATCTACTTTCAGTGATAGCAGGTCAAATAAACTTCGCGGGTCGCAGTGATTCTTCTCTCGTATACAATATCGAGTCCGCCATGGGTTATTTTGGCCAAAAATTAAAGTAATAATTCGGTGGTTGGGAACTTCGCGAATAGCGCCTAACTAACAATAAGGTATCCCAGAAGTATGAGACGATCGGCATTGGAGATGCCTGAGATATCCGCGACAGGTGAATAGGTTCTCAGAAGCGGAGGTCTCATGCGAACTGGAATAATAAGCACTTTTTGCATGTACTTAAGGGGTGTATTTGTTGCAGATGTTCGCGCAAAACCTCCTTTTTCGGCGACATGTAGTCCTTGCACACAGACAGTCATAACTTTGGGACCTCAAAAAAGCTTGTAGTGAGCTGACGACCTGAAAATAAACAGGCAGATAATTGATAAATCATTTATTTATTCATTTTATTTATTGATGCACTGTTCGTGAACAGTTCGCCAGTTCCATTTGGTAGTTTCAATAAGAATGAGTTTCAATCAAGAACAAAAATCTTTTTTTCCTCATGTGAAAAATTGGGCAACATCACACGAAATTTGCCAAGTTTTCCACCAAGATATTGATTGTGCGCCTTTTGACCGTAGACAGCTGTTTGCTTACTTATCTGTGGCAAACTTGAGCAAAAAAATTGAGTTGCATACATCCGGTATTCACTTCACATGCACAGCAAAAAGGGCAGAACATGCTTCGAATAGAAGCCAGTGAGCACATTGCTGGTATACCGAGTTAGCCAACATATTGGATCACTTATGATTGCCGATCTAGCCCAGTAGGTTCGCGTAAAGTTGTGGGAATTTTTTCCCAAAAATCGCATTCTTATAATTTGAACGATTCGCAGTTTACCATCGTATTCCATCAGACGCTGAAAGTCGTAAAAAAACAAAGTGTGTTCAAGTTCCATTATTTGATTATCCTCCGATTTGTTCGAATTAAAACTGCTTTGAAAAATGCACGCTGGCCAATTTCTAGATTTATCACTTTTCATTCCCTGAATTTCTCTTATCACGAGTGCTCCTCCAGTGGTAGTAGTCGTAAATGAGCTCTGAGTTCGCCAAACAACTGGGTTGAGAAACCCACCCCGTTTCAGACGGTTCTCAAGCTTATTCCGGCACCAACAAATCAAGTTGAAAGGAAAAATACAAAAAGTTGAACATACATTGCTTTTTGTAACTTTTTTTTAGCATCTGATGAAAAAGAAGGATGCAAACTTTGATTAGTTCAGATTTTTCAGATACGATTTTTGAATCAAATTCCTACTCAATTTCAGAAAATTTGCTAACTTGCGTCAAGGTTTTCTGGTGGAATCCTCCAGTTTTTACAGAGCATTCCGGGCTACTCTTAGATGATTTTAGCAGTACTAAACAGGGGACGATGCTTGTGACCCCGGCCATTCGTGATGGTTTGTATATCAAAAAATGCGCCATTTAATGCTGGTTTGAATTGTTTTCCATATCTGCGAAACGAGAACCTGATTTGAGTTATATTGATTTTTTCAGAAATGAATTGCGCTACTGTGGAGGGTGACTTAATAAAAATTTTGCTTTCCTCTTCAAATGCTAAATATGATTTAGATAGGGTATAAACACAACGTTACACCTTTCAAGATTCTCCTCAATAGCTTCAAACGGTAAAATAGATCAAATTGGGTGATTTTAACCACCTAAAAGTAAGCAAATTTTCTACGAAAAAAAGCTTTTTCAATTTCGAATCATAAGACTCCACTTTGTCTTAGAATAATAAGACTTTGCTTTGTTTCAGTACACCTTGTCTGAATAAATGGTTTTAATTTCGAGACTCAAAGACCACGATAACAGCAGCGACGCAAAAACGATGTATATACAGTCGAGTAGATTTCCTGCTTAATATAGTGTCCCTGCAGACGCGACAACGCTGGGGCGTCAATAATTCCTGACGAGTTCCCGAGCTAGTGTTTTTCAGTGTTCCCTTTGCTTATTCTATGCTTTTTAGGTGATTCGTTGCTGATAAAGAAGAAAAGGGTAAGTTAGAAAGTAGTTTCTGTTTTCTGAGAAGTTTTATCATCGCATATTCGAAGATATCCACGCGGAAGCAGTTCGCGTCAGCTTCTTGTCTATTTTTTTTGTCACTTCATGTCTCCTTCTTCTTGTGAGGTATTTCTTTGAACGCTAGTGGGTTTTTACGACTGACTTATTGTCTTTACCACATGAAGTACTTGATTAAGATGCTATTTCTTATGGATGAAAGCCGAAGTTGTTGCAAGACAAGCCAAATAGCGTTCAAAGAAACGCCTCACAAGAAGGAGGAGGTTTGAAAGAAGAAGTGACAGAAGAAAAGGAAATGACAAAAATATAGACAAGAAGCTGACGCGAAATGCTTCCACGTGGATTTCTGTGAATATGCGATGATAGAACTTCTCAGAAAACAGAATCTACTCTTTAAAATACCCTTTTCCTCTTTATCAGCAACGAGTCAACTAAAAGCACGAAATAAGCAAAGATAACACTGGAAAACACTAACTCGGGAACTCGCAAGGCATTTATTGACGCCCCAGCGTTGTCGCGTCTGCGGGACACTATATTAAGCAGGAAATCTACTCGACTGTACCAAGGTTCATCAACCACACATTTCCAAATTTTCTATAACAGCCACCTTTTCTAAACGAACAAATAAGCCATGGCGCGCCAAATGCACGCCACTCTGTGCTCAGGGTGTTTGGCTTATGTGCGCGATCGCATTTCTGGTTATCACTCTGCTTACAAGAGTGCGAACAAGAAGTTCAATAAAAAATCCCTTGCTGAAGCTTACTGGAGTTTATAGTCTAAGAAAGTAATGACGCTTTGAGAAAACCCCTTCTTTGAATCGTTTTTTCAACTACAAAAATGAATCGACTAGAAGCCTCCCTTCATGAAATGCATGCCACAGTTAATAAAGTGCGGTTCATAATTATACGAACACCCAAAATTTTGTAAGTTTCTGGACTTTTTGGGAGAAACTCAAAAAGCCGTTGTTACCACGCGATAGAACACAGCCGAAAACGGTATATGATCCATAAGAATGGAAATTGATGTCAATCTTAGGAGTGTTTTTGCGCTTAATGCGAATTTTTAGCGGTTCATAATTATACGAACACCTCAAACAAAGGTCCATTTCTCTTCAAGATTGTAATCATTTGAGTCCAAATTTTTTGTAGAGTTACAGTAACAAAGTTTGACATATCTGCTACACACTGAACCCAGTGCAGTTCAAAAAGAGGACCGTTGCTTTTTTCAGAAGGCTCTAAATGCTTTTGGAGTGACTGTGCTCCAAAAACATCCGTTCTTCTGTGGTTTACGCGCTTTAAATAGCTTTTACCAAAACTATGAGATAAAATAAGCTCTTTCGATAGGTATTTTGTTTGACGCTTGGAAAATCTTTGCGCTTTCGTGCCGTTTTTCAACCAAGTTCCAACCTTACCCTAGAGTTAGCACGATTTCGAGCCTCAAAACTCAGCTTCTGAAGCCGACAATGAAGTAAGCATATAGTATGTAGAAGTTCACAAGACTATATATTTGGCTAGAAAAAATCAGCAGCGTTGAGCGTTTGTTTTGGCCACGCAGACGTCATTTCACCAAAAACACTGTTTTTACTATTGCAGTCACACCTTTATTTGGTTTGTAGCTCCACAGCCTCAAGATCAGTTCTACAAAAACCCAAAAACTTTGGCACAGAAACATCATTATGCAAACAATGCAGCTGCTTTATATTAAATGTTTGCACAAGAGAGAAGCTGAGTATTGAGGCTCGAAATCGTGCTAACTCTTGGTAAGGTTGAAACTTGGTTGGAAAACGGCACGAAAACGCAAAGATTTTCCGAGCGTCAAACATACCTATCGAAAAAGCTTATTTTATCTCATAGCTTTGGTAAAAGCTATTTAGAGCGCGTAAACCACAGAAGAACGGATGTTTTTGGAGCACAATCACTCCAAAAGCATTTAGAGCCTTCTGAAAAAAGCAACGGTCCTCTTTTTGAACTGCACTGGGTTCAGTGTATAGCAGATATGTCAGACTTTGTTACTGTAACTCTACAAAAAATTTGGACTTAGATGATTGCAATCTTGAATGGAAAATGGACCTTTGTTTGAGGTGTTCGTATAATTATGAACCGCTAAAAATTCGCATTAATCGCAAAAACACTCCTAAGATTGACATCAGTTTCCCTTCTTATGGATCATATACCATTTTCGGCTGTGTTCTATCGCGTGGTACCAACGGCTTTTTGAGTTTCTCTCAAAAAGTCCGAAAACTTACAAAATTTTAGGTGTTCGTATAATTATGAACCGCACTTTACATACATAAACAACACTTACCGTATGTGCATGTTGTGGGAAACCCTGCTGTCGATTTTTGAACATCAAAGGGAGACAAGGCTTCGCATACATCTTTGGCTGCAGCCTCGCTATTTGTCTGCATTTGGTACGTAACTTTACATTCCAAACCCTAAGTGAATGTGGTATACATGCATATACAATAAGATGCAAAAATCAAAAGAATCGCTTACTGTGATTATCGAAAACCAACAAGAAAGGCGTTTGACTCAAAGTGGCCTCCTTTAAAGGCAGTGGATCGGCAAAAAATAACAACATAGTATTTCAACGTGATAGGTTTCTTACTGCCCAAGTATGGAAACAGTGCAGTCTCGGTTGCACGGCGTGCCTTCTGTGCCGAGAAAATCGCTCTCAAACTTGCACGCGCAAGCCAATCTTACACGCGCCCGGACGAGTTGGCATTTTTCTTCTCATCGTTGAAGGCTGCCCGCCGCAATGCTATAACTATTGGGTCCCTCAACGATTCAGCGCCATCAGCCTAGCTCCACTCGTCCAATTTCAAAGGGAAGGACATAGAAAAACACTCGTTTTCGCCGTTTCAAGCTCTCTAATATGGATTTTCGGGATCAGCTTATTGAATAACCCCGGGTAAGCGAAAATATGACTAAGTTGAAATTTGCCGAGCCACTGCCTTTAACAATGTATGTACGTCATCTGGCTGTCTCTGTTCAAAACAGCTTTTAATATGGGCTAAGGCATGCGCTACACTCAATGATCCTCTTGATCCATTTCATCCACTTCACTGCTAGTCAAACCAGTCAACTGCTCAACAGCAAAGCGAATGTCACCACTTCGCTATCGGTCACCTCACTGATTCAACCCAATAGCGAAGTGGATAAAGTGGATGAGCTGGATCCATCTGGCGTGTTCCTTAAGCGCCGATTTACTAAACGTAACTGAATTCATTACTGCGGGCTTTTTAGTGGCAACCTAGTCCTGCAGCAAACTAATACTTTGGTAGCTTTCTGCAGGACTGAGGCTGCCATGTATGATACCGCTCGTATTTACACTGCGCTGCAGTGCGTCGGAGTGCAGCAGAGTGCGCCGGAGAGCAGCTGAATGCGCCGCACACCATTAGAGTGCGCTGGAACCCGCGTCGCATCGTCATATCTCGATTCAGAATGGACGTATTCTGGATCCAAGGGCACTGTTCGATTCAGCTTGAGACGCATCATCCATATGTAGAAGTGCCACAGTCAGGTACGGTAGATATATGGTAAACAGTAGGTTTTCGCTAAATTTTGCAGATTTTTGTTTTGATTGGATTGTTCAATATGCTGATAACAATATTGCCATGATTTGCGCTGATGGACCAATCGACCGCACGAAATCGCGGGTCGCTATAGGCTGAACGCACGCGAACGTGCCTGCAGCCGGCTGCCGAGTACGGCCACTATGATGCATTCGTGCGAATGCCAATTTTAGCCCGCAAGAGGCACGCTCGCATGCGTTTAGCTCGGTCGATTCCGTGCAGTCAACTAAACATTGTAGAGATACTGTAGGAGTATGGTAGAGAGTCACTATGATCGAATTCGTTTTGAAATCGGCTCAAGTTACAATAGTGCTCACAGAATGTGCAAAATTTCCATGAACGTCACGGAAGTCTGGGAATTCCGCGACATTCCAGGGATTCCGCGGAGTCACGGAAATCACGCAAACCATGCAGCGCCATAGTTTCCTTCGAAATGAGTATATTCTGAATCCGGACGAAAGGCGTTGTGTCCAGCTCGTCAAGGCGAATTTTTTGATGTACAAGATGCCCTCGATATTCCGTTCCCAGTTTTCTCAAATTATTCTGCGGAAGAATATGGGAAAACTGGAAGTCCTTCCGCAAGGATCTAACCTATCTAAAATAAAAGATTCCAGTAAATACTATTCGATAGTACTGTTCTTGTAGGTTATCGTGCGCTAGAAAGTAGCCATAGACTTCTTTCTAAAAGAGATAGAAACGCTGGTGAATTTTGGAAAGATAGGTGTTTCCAAATTCTACTCACCGTAACTCCTTCGTAATGAATTTCTAATCTAATATATGAATAAACGTAAGCGCAATTTCAAAATGTGCAAATAGCGGGAAACCGCGTGGCGGTCCCGAAGCGCGTGAATGCAGTCTAGCGCCTTTAATTACTGGTTCATTAGTTCTAAATCCGAAAAAAAGCGTTCTGCTCAGCTCGTTAAGCTAAATCTTTCGATATCCAGCACGTCCTCGATGACTTCAGCATTCTTGAATCTGCGGACGCAAAGGTGTAAAGCAGCGCGCTTGCCGCTAGTAGACTCCAGAGGCCGTAATCATCATTGCTACCTAGGGTAAAATGAACCTTGGGGTAGATTTACCTCAAGGTACACTTTACCTTAAGGCTGTTTCGTATTCATCAAAGTACCTCAAGGTCAATTCTACCTCAGCTTGCATGATGTGCGGGGATGCTCATTCAAGGCATGCCATGACTCTCAGCGGTGTGTAAAAACTTCCTTATTGTTAATCTCTTTTTTCTACTTTCGTTCTATGGGTATGTATACTTTAGGACCGTTCGCATGTAATGCTCGCTTTGCGTATGTTGCGCCACTTGAGGAGCGGACGAGAAAAACAGAACCACTATGTGATCACAGCCTGACAATCTTGAAAGAGATATCAATGTCGTCTTTAGTAAATTATCCTAAAGATCTTTGACGCCATAATCTGTGTTCTTCTAACAATAAGTTATCTGTAAGAATGAGATCTGTCTCCGAAGAAGCGCTTGTAATTGGAATTATTCAAAATGTTTCAACCTCAAGCGCCGGCCGCCAACTGCCTCAATGATAATAAACGGGAAGCGGAGCCCAACATGAGGGTGGCAAATGGGCATCCTTGAAAAGAGTTAGCCTTTGCCACTATTCTGCGATTTCCCCATTGATCCCGCCAGCTGTGTAGGTTGTTCGATTGAAGCGCGCTTTTCTCCTCAAACGCACCGGCGTCATTGTTACTCCAAATCCTGACAAGGTATTGACCTTTGAAATTTGCAAAGGTAGCATATTAGAATCCGTGCCGAATTTCTTTCTCGTCAGCCCGATTACCAAGTCAACATGATACGCGATGATATGACTTGGGCGCACAAGCAGGGTTGCTGGGAAGGATTCTTAAGCCGCATGCGCGTGAGTCCAGAGCCAATGCTAACCACGCACCCCGAAAAAAAATTGGAATGTTCCCCTGAAATATTTGCGGTCTCTTTGCGGTCTTCCGCCGAAATTATTCTTTCACAAGGCTAACTTGAAATGTACCAAAAAATTCGAAAAATAATGGAATTACTTACAAGCGTAAACAACTCACTTGCAAATTCTCACAACTCAAGTAAGTAAGTTTTGAAAATTTTCAGACTATCCCCTCCCCTCCATTAGGCCACTGGTCTATTTTACGGTATCAAAATCACAGAATAGACGACTGTACTGCCTCAGGGGTTAATGGTATGCCACGAAAAGAATGTCAGTTACAAAAGTTGAAATTTTTTGAAACGTGAGATGGCTCAAGATTGTAAAGTTGCTTAAAAATTTGTTGAGGGGTTTAATTCAGTTTGCTGATCACAAATGTGATTTCAATAGCTCTCCAATCTCGTAATTCTTGCTGGAAAGTTTTAGCGAAACAATATCCCGGATTCTTAGATGTTGTTCTGACGTAGTAGAGCTGTATCTTATGAGGAAGGCTACCTAACTTACTCGGCCTTTTGGCAAGTAATATATATGATCTGAATCAGCAACACTGATTCCAAATATGCTACAGGGTGGTCCACATGAAATGTGACGCACTCTCGTAACTTTGCTAATATTCAATGAAACCAAAAGCTTCTGTTTTCATCTGATAGACAAGAAAATTCTGTATAAGTCTTTATAGACTGCTTCCAAGAAGTCCATCTTGACTTTGAGGCAGGATTTATTCTGCTCGGAGAGATTTTCAAAATGCGCGCAATGGTTTTTGGAGGATATTTCGTCCCAGGCTCTCACAAGGTCTCCTTTAGCAAATCGAATGGCCTGGGTTTGGAAAAGCGGACTTTTTGCTTACAAGTAGAGCAGGGGGAGAATCGTGGGTTCAAGAATGTTCGATTCGGAAGGCAAAACATTGTTCGTTCATGTGTGGCGATGAAGTTTGATGGACTGCGAAAAAACCATTTTTTGGTCTATTTCATTCCACGCTTCGAAGATATTCTCTGCTCCGTATTCTTTTGTCCCGTTGTGCTTGTTCCCGAGTTCGTTTCTTACTAAAACATGGTCAAGTTTGAAGGTTTATCAAAGGCAGTCGCCATGGCAACAAAAATCGCAATCTTTCGAAATTTTGGAAAAAGCATTGAAAGCAAACTCTGAAGGGCTGTGGCACTTTCTTGAATTAAAGGAAATTCTGTACACGCTTTTGGGAATTTTTAGCATGACTAGATAGCAATTTACAGCGAAAAGAAGATGGAAGTTGTGTAAAATCCATCGTTTGGATACTGGAAAAAAAATGAATTTTGGCCCTCTTGCTCGTCCATCCATGGCCAACAAACACTCTTTTCTGTCAGCCTGAAAGTAAAAAGTCTGCTCTTCAAAACCTATGTCATTTGATTTGCCAAAAAGAAACCCGGTGAGAGCTTGGGAGCAGAAACCATCGCGCGCAAATCGAAGAATTTTTGGAAGGGGTTTGAAGAAGAAAAAATGATTTGAAGAAAGCAGGGACAAATATGTCGAACGTTAGTGCAAAGTTCTCATTTCTTATACAGAATTCTCTTCTCTATCAAGTGAGGACAAAAGATTCTGATTTTATTCAGTCCTTGCAAAGTTATATTTTTTTCTTGTGTCACACTTCGTGTGGACCACCCTGTATTCCTGGCTGCCGAGCACCACCATTCCTAAGCAATTTATGGGTTTTTACTGCGCGAAATTGGCATACTACTGAACATAAGAAGACTGCGTATAGATAACTCATAATAAGCCGCTTATTTGTCGGTCTGTAAGTCTGTCTGTTACGAAATTATTAGGAATGATTTACGGTACTAAACGTCATGTGAGGTTCACATAGCGAGTATGATTCATTTTTAACTATGGCTCTCACTTTGCAGTCAACCGAACAATGATTTGAGGGACAAGCTCTCAGAGAGTGAATTTACCACGGTT